ACTGCTACGAGTGTGACATTGCTCATATATATACAGTATATATGTGCCTTGGTTTACTCCGATTCTCTCTCTCTCTCTCACACACACACACACACACACACACACACACACACACACACACACACACACACACACACACACACACACACACACACACACACACACACACACACACACACACACACACACACACACACACACAAACAGATAGGAAGATTTTTTTCAGAAACTTTATCACCATCTGAATGAATGGACAGTTATTGCTATTTTTTTTAATTATTTTATTCTATTTTAATTTCCTTTTTGTTAATCATATTAGTCTGCATTGTTTATATATACTAACAGGCCATTTTATTAGGTACACCTATCCAATTGCTTGCTAACGCAAATCTCTAACCAGCCAATCTCATGGCAGCAACTCAATGCATTTAGGCATGCAGACATGGTCGAGATGATCTGCTGCAGTTCAAACTGAGCATCAGAATGGGGAAGAAAGGTGATTCAAGTGACTTTGAACGTGGCATGGTTGTTGGTGCCAGATGGGCTGATCTGAGTATTTCAGAAACTGCTGATCTACTGGGATTTTCATGCACAACCATCTCTAGGGTTTACAGAGAATGGTATGAAAAAGAGGAAATATCCAGTGAGCGGCGGTTCTGTGGGTGCAAATGCCTTGTTGATGCCAGAGGTCAGAGGAGAATGGTTTCTTGAACATGACAATGAGTTCACTGTACTCAAATGGCATCCACAGTCACCAGATCTCAATTCAATAGAGCACCTTTGGGATGTGGTGGAACAAGAGATTCGCATCATGGATGTGCAGCCGACAAATCTGCAGCAACTGCGTGATGCTATCATGCCAATATGGAGCAAAATCTCTGAGGAATATTCCAGTAGCTTGTGAATCTACCCACGAAGGATTAAAGCAGTTCTGAAGGCAAAAAGGGCTCCAACCCAGTGCTATTAAGGTGTACCTAATGAAGTGGCTGGTGGTTGTATGTTTTATATAATGTCTACTTTTTTATTGTTTATGTAATGCTTTGGAAACACTTCAGAAGTCATATCAATAAAGCTCTTTTTAATTTTTTGATAGAGAGAGAGAGAGAGAGAGAGAGAGACTATATACTTGGAGAGAAGACATGGTAGTCAAATTATAATGTAATAACTGGTTTAATTATATTTTCTTTATCATTTATGTTGCCTTATTTGTCATTATCTACACTCTTTATAACTGTAATTATTACAATCAATATTTAAGTTTTTGTCACTTTATCTGTCATATATTTCTCATTTACAGTATTTTACTCTGATGACATAATTATATTTCATATTTTACGCATAGGTAAAATGCAATACTATAAAACAATGTCATAATGCAACTCGAATTGATGTTCCAATTGACCTGAGAGTAGAGTTTGGTGGAAAACTGATTTAAATGTATTATTTAAGGAAAGGGGGCAGCACGTTCTGTGTGGAGTTTGCATGTTCTCCTCGTAACTGGCAGATAGCTGGTTTAGGTGTGTTTGATTAGGGTTGGAGCTAAACTCTTAAGGACTCCGGCCCTCCACGACCGAGTTTAGACACCCCTGGGTAATGCAGGCCAATCACTATTCATTCATTCTCTTTCCGGATTAGTCCTTTTATTAAAATGGGGTCATCACAGTGGAATGAACCGCCAACTTATCCAGCATATGTTTTACACAGCGAATGCCCTTCCAGCTGCAACCCATTGCATGTGTTTAGACTTGTGGGGGAAACCGGAGTACCCGGCAGAAACCCACGAGAAGCATGCCAGCCAATCAAAAGACATAAGCCGAGGATGTCCTCTAAACAGTACAACAGGACTTGACAGAGTAGCTCAAAAAATTCAAAGAAAATTAATGAAAACGCAATGTCCACTACAGAGGAAACAAGTCTATGGGCGGGGTCTCAGCAGGATATTGTTTTTCCTCTGTCATATTTCACACAGTCTCCTTTGCTGTCTCACTTTAAGTAGGCTATAAATTTAAAATGTTCAATAAATAAAGAATAAAAAATAGTATAGCATGGTATTTAAAAAATACGCATCATTTTTTTTTTCGTCAGTGGATTAAGATAAATTGCAATTTTATAATAACATATGCATTTGAAAAGCAATTGAACCACTCTTACAAAAATTAACCATCTGTTTTAATAGTAAAGTTGTAGCAGGGCAACACAGTCGGTAGTGCTGTCACCTCACAGCAAGAAGGACACTGGTTCGAGCTTCGGCTGGGTCAGTTTCTGTGTGGAGTTTGCATGTTCTCCCGGTGTTTGTGTGGGTTTCCTCCGGGTGCTCCGGTTTCCCCCACAGTCCAAACAAATGCACTATAGGGGAATTAGG